GCTTTTTCCACGCAGCTCATCATTTCTGCCGCTTCTAAACACATTCCAACCCTCAGAATCATGCCAGGACACCTCGTTTTTCTAACCCTAACCCTACCCTGGTGCACACCCCTAACTCTAATATAGGGCTAAAATACCACTGAAAAGAGGAAGATTTTGAAAAAGCCTTCCCTGAGTAGCTTTTTCTGCACAGCTCATCCTTTCTGCCCCTTCTAAACACATTCCAACCCTCAGAATCATGCCAGGACACCTCATTTTTCTAACCCTAACTATAATGGCTTATAGTTTGGCCTGCAGGCGCACGGTGCCAGGGCTGGAAGTTGGGTCTTCTCTCTCAGCTGTTCATAGGTCTCTTTTCTCAACCTGGCTGCAGCTCCTCAGCCCAGCCTTCCATCTTTTACATCTGGGTTCAAGCAATCGTCCTCGAGCCACCCATGACCAACACATGCACCTGCATTTTCCAGTGACCTGTGCTGCATTTAATTGGGTCGCTTTCTAACAATCCATCGTGACCCACAGCAGATGACAAATATATACTTTTCACTTTTAGCCCAAGGACAAGAACAACATCATGCACATTTTGGGCAGCTCCTCTGTTTCCTGGCAACGGTTTTCCTGCCTGGCCTCCCCAGTGATCCTCAGCCACCTTTTGCTTTCTTCCTCTCCGCAGCGGAGCTTGGGTCCTTGTGTTCCTCCGCTTCGGGTGGTGCTTTGAGCATCACCCCCTGGAGACATGTGCGGATGAGCGCTGCGATCCGGACTGTCTCCTCCCGGCGCGTGCAGTAAACAATGACAGAGTCCAGGCTTCCGAACCTCTCCCCTTTCAGCAAGTTCACCAGGGCCTGTAACAGGTTGAAGAGAATAAGGAGCCGGCCTGGAGGTGTAGTGCTGCTTGCCTGGCGATGCTATGAATGTTTCATCTGTTGCTCGAAAGGAAAGGAAGGAATGGCAAAGGACAGTTGACATTTGGGAAGCCGTGGACTATCCAAATTGGAAACACGCGTGCTAAGCCCGACCCATGTCCTCCCCTTCCTTTATGAAATACCTTTTTCTCATTACAAGCCTGAAAAACAGAGACGCTTGCTGAGGAGCCGAGAGCTGAAACAAAATGTTTCCTGTAACAAGCGCCGATCAGCTCCACGTATGTTGGGACTACAGCTTCCATCATTCCTCATCACGGTTCATGCTGCAGGGGCTGATGGGAAGCTGCAGTCCAACACATCTGGAGTGCCCCGGGCTGAAGAAGGCGGCCCTTGCCAGGAACACCCTGTGCAGGCTGAGCCGCAGTTCCTCCCAAAAGCTTCCTCTGCGCGCCCAGATCGGCCGGTGAGGCAGGGGCAGCGCGGAGCCAGGCGGCCTTCGTCCGCCAAGGCACACCTGCGTGTGCGGTCGCTCGCCCAGAAGAGCGCCTCGCGATCTGGATGCTCACACACGTGTCCTCTCCGCCTGGGTGGCCCTGCGTGCATCAGGGGCTGCTTTGCTGGCGGCGCTCCACCGGCGTGCACGCTGGGGCGGCCCCTGGGAGCTCCCCTCAACACGCCGACGCGGCCTTTTGGGCCAGGGCCGGCCTGGCCCAGACTCACCTCGTCTTTGTCTCTGTCGGTGGAGACCGAGAGGTGCAAGTTGGGCGGCACGGCAGCAGAGCGCACGGCGATCCCCTCGCCCTCCGGGACGCCCAAGTGATGGGCCACGTCCCGCGCCGTGGAGAGGGTGGCGGTGGCTGTCAAGCCCAGGAAGCAGCGCACGCCCAAGCGATCCCGAAGAGCCTGCCGGGAGACGGCGCCAGAGTCGGTCCTCCTGCTCCGGAGCGCATGGAAGGCCAACGGGGCCACCTCCTCGCCGGGCAGACCGGCTCCCTGTGCGCGCCGGCCCTCACGTCTTTTAAGGCGGAACAGAGAGGGAGGCTCACCCTGAGAGAGCGAGCCAGGTGGCCACCAGGTGCCTCCCCAGCGTGTGGGGCTGCCCTTCTCAGCCGGCATGGCCAGCCTATCTGAGTCGCTAAGCTGCATAACCATACATGGGAGGTCTTTAAAGAATCCCTTTGTCCATCAGGCCAGGCATATTCAGTTCCTAGGCAGGACCTGAGGGATGGCTGTGCAGCTCAGTGCTCACATTTTCCAAGCAAGCCGTCTCATTGCTAAAAGACTTGAGAACTTAGGCCTGCTCAGTGACAAGACATCAAACCTTGCTTTAAACCCACAGGAAACCCTTTAAGAGCTATTTGTTTTTCTTCCAATGTCCACAGAAAACCCCAATGGCCGACTTTAACCAGAACACATCTGCACACCGAGAGAAGCGTTGCAGACTCAACTCCGGCTGGAATATGCATCACTACACTTAGGACCTTTGTCCTCGGCCCCAGATTTGTGGGAGTGCTACGGACCCTTGGTAGTGAAAGGTTCTCTGCACGTGCTCAGAGCCCTAGCCGGTCCTCAAAGACCCCTGGGCACTCCCTCTGACCCCACCTACATTTCACGTCTAGAGCAAGCCCAGCGTCACCCCACTGACTCTTTCGGCCCAAGAGGCCTGGAACCGCGCCAGCCACAAGCAGCCCGCTCTCACGCCGCCTCACATCTCCCCAGAAGGGCGACGCGCACGCACCGTGGAGCCAGGCCCTGCCGCTTTTGCTTCCCGCCACACGCCCGATGGTTGCATGAAGGTGGTGGTGGGTTTACCAGCCCGCGGTTAAAGCTGGGACTTCCCCACACTCGGGAGCCACCGTGCCAGACGTGATCCTCCGCACTAAGCGGCCCTTCCCGAACCCCGCCTGGCTCCCCAGCGAGGAGAGTTTGCTGGCTGCGCTCACCGTGGCAGCAGCCACTCGTGGGTCACTGGCCATGGCAGACTTGTTGGGGCCCCCGTCCCAGTTCCCCAGCGTGCCCAGTCGGAGGCCCACCTAAGCCTCTCCTCAGGTACAAGCATCCCCTCTCCACCAGTCCATACCTTACAAACTCGCAGGTAACAGGGACGGAAATTGTGGGACCACTCGGAGACACAGTGGGCTTCGTCGATGCAGGCGAACGCCACGGGGGGCAGCTGGTCAGCGGGCGGGAGGCAGCTGGACCCCGGGAAGCCCCCGCCGACCAAGGCCTCGGGGGAGAGCAGAAGCACGTGGACCAGCCCGGCCTTCACCTGCAAGCAGCCAGGTCGAGCCAGTCAGGTCGCTTCTGCCCCTTAGCCCGGCTCAGCCGTCTGGCCCCAGCCCGCTGTGGACTGTCCCTCTGGGGCCTCGGCAGCCGCAACTGGTCCCCCGTTTCAGTGGTTCCCAGGGCAACACCTCTCTCCTGCTGGCCATCCGTTCGTCCGAGAAGCAGAAACGGCAGCCGTTTCCCCCCCCCCCCCCCCCGCCGGCTTCCTGCCTAGCCCCAACCCTTTCTGCCCAGTCTTTGGTAGTCCTGCACTCATCCGCGCACTGAACCATGCTGGATCTTCCGTAAATTGCCTGAAGATTTGGACAACGGGTCCCCTCCAGAGAGTCCCTGTGGCGTAGCTGCGGAGAAGCCGAGCTACAAGGAGGAAGCCCCCGGCTCCACTTCAGCCCCTGGCCAGGAATTCCCTAGGTGGCCGTGGGCTGGGGGTCTCGGTCCCTCATCTGCAGGACGGGGACAACCGCACGCACTACATGTTAGACCCTTTACGTGGGGTGGTTCAAAGCCAAGTGCTATGGCATTTCTCGTTCACAAGCTCCGGGCTGGAGGCAGGTCAGGTCAGGAGGCAGGGCAGTTCTGCCGCTGCACCAAGGATCCATGCCTCCGACACCGGGGGGCTCACCCTGTCCAGAGCGGCTTCCTTCTGGGCCTTGGACATGTTGGAGTGCACGCAGGCCGCCTTCAGGCACGGGGGAAGCCCAGAGACCTGCAAGAGAAGGACGGAAGGCGCATCGCTTGACCTTGGAGGGCTGGGCAGAAATGGGCGCGGCACAGCAGAGGGGTGGGCACGCTCTCCACTCGCACCCACGGAAGCCACTCCCTTGCCAGCTTCCTGCTGACGCTTCCCTGGAGGGAGGGGAAGGGGCGAGAGCAGAGGGGTCAAAGAACGGAGCCAAAACAGCAGGAGCACCTACATGCTGAGCTTCTCTCTCTTCCTGTCAGTAGCCAAGCTTCAGGAGAGGCATTCCAACATGGCAGAATGGGGGGGAAATGCACAACAGCCGGAAAGCCGTTCAATGACTGGCGGGAGAAGGGGGATGAGGGCAGCAGAAAGGGAGCCCTTCCGGGGAAGCGTGGGAGGCACGGCTTGCCAGCCGGAGGTCCATCGTCCTGGCTCTGGCTTCCCCCCTGCAGCCAGGAACCGGTCACCAGTCCCTGTGCGGCTTCCTGCCCTTTGTGCCGTAACCTCTTGGTGCATCCCTTTAACTCCTTCCCTTTCGGCTCCTACCCTGCCCAGTCAGGATCCGCTCCACCACCCACCTAGCCACCCTCCGGTTTTCCTCCCGCTCAGGTCCCTCCCTGAAGCCACGCACTGCCTCCGCAGAGCTGCCCCAGGACCGGCCACCCCCCGGCTCCAGCGGGCACGGCCCTCCCACCGCCACCTGTCTCCCCCCCGAGGCAGACGGCAGGCAGGCTGGCACTCGGGCGCGCCTCTGCTCTGCACAGCATCTAGCATGTTTTCAACACTAGCAACACCTTAGGTCATGGCACCCTGCCGGTGAAACAGATCAGGGAAGAGAGAAACACCGTAGTGGCTAGGTTAAGGACGAGAGCCGATTTAGCCTGGAGCTGGGATTTGGCAGGAAAGCAAGGTCGGGGGAATGACTTGGGCAAAGCACTTCTTTCTGCCTGTTTCTCTGGATCGCAAGCAGCTAAATCGCAACGGTCCCAAATCCAGAGGCATCTGCCAACTCACCTGGTCATCCATCAGTGACACCAGCGGCGAGATCACCAGAGTGATGCATCTGGACCGCCTGCGGTACAGGTAAGCCGGAAGCTGGTAGCAGAGAGATTTCCCCATTCCGGTGGACAGGACCACCAGGGTGGAGAGCCCTGTTGGCGGAGGGAGGAAGAGGAGGACGGCGGCAGACTTAGAGGGCCGGGATCCCTCAGGCTGGCCACCCCCAGGCAGCTGCTCCCTGCCGTCACCCCCCAGCTTCAGCCGCATGCCCACTGGGCTTGCGGCCTGCTCCCCCAGCCCACCCAAGCGGCTCAGCGGGGAAGTCATGGTCTTGCCTGGTCCCAATTTTATCCTCGTGACACCGATGAGGGCAGCCTACCGGGGGCTGCTCTGGCTGAGCTGAGCTGGGGCCTGAGGCTGGTCCTCCCAGGCTCACGCGGTGGGCTCCCCTGCACTCTCCTGTGCTGCCCGCTGGCACTGACAGCCCCTCACCTCAAGCGTCCTGAGCTGGGTGGGGGGAGCCCTGCCACCCCCCCATTCTGCTTGTGCAGCAGGGAGACAAGGGGCTGGGCGTGGGCCCACACTGGGGAGATGGGAGGAGAGCGGATTCCAACAGCAAGGAGCCATCATGGTGGCCCAGCCAAGTGGCATTCCGGGGGCCCGTGAAGGCCAAAGGGCTACCCCACCCTGCTGCAGGGAGCTGCCACCGAGGGACGCATCCCCTTCCCGCAGGACCAGGGAGCCACCGTCAGACCGGCTGGAGGGGCTGAGTGCGTGCCTGAGAGCAGGGCTGGCGCAGAATGCAGGCAGGAGCTGGCAGGGCCCTTGCACTGGAGACCCAGCCCTGGGGAAGGCTGGAGCGTGGACCTGGCCTTGGCTCGAAGGCCCAGCTATGACGCCCCGGGGGACCGCAGTGCACAGCTGACTGGGGATCTGGGTCATCCACTGCCCAGCGTGACTGGAGGAGAAACGGGCGTTGTGTCAGGTCAGCTTTCCGTCTGCTGGTTTCAGAATGTGGAGCCACCCAGACAAAGAGCAAAACAGGCATTTCGATCCAACGGGCTTGAAGCTCAAACAGGACACACTGGGTTGGGGACACTGCCCTGTGAGGAGAGACTGGGAGAACTGGGCATGTTCAGCCTTGGGAAGAAAAAGACTGAGGGGGGACATGAGATCCCTCTAGAAGTCCCTCAAAGGCTGTCCCAAAGAGGAAGGTCAGGATCTCCTCTTACTGATGCCAGACTGCAGGACACGGAATAATCAAGTCAAGCTGCAACAACCCAGATTCAGGCTGGACATCAGGAAGAGCTACCCCAAAGGCTCTCAGTGACTCTCCCACACTAGAGACATTCAAAGAGGAACTGGGCAGCCCTCTGAGTGGGATGGTGCAGCTTAGTGTCCTGCAACAGCAGGGGGCTGGACCCGAGGGCCCTCACAGCCCTTCCAATGCAGCAGCCACATGGCCAGAGCATTCAAAAGGGCTACACAGTTCAGGGAGGAGGCTGAGAAAGACCACACACACACGGTCATTGCAATGCATCCTTTCTCTCGCACACAATTTGGTGACATCTTGGTTGTTCCTAATAAAGGTATTTTATTCAAAGTTGAGGATTTTGATCCCCCCTCTCCCATTGATGAGCATGGCTGTACCATCTTTTTAACGTAAAGGTTTCATTCACTTTAAGCTTCAGTACAATGAGCAAGTATTTGGCCCAGACTTCAGGCAAGCCAACTGCCTTACCTGAAAGTACCCTCATCACGGCGGCTTCCTGCCCTGGTCGGAAGGAGGCATAGCCCAGCTCAGCCAGTGCTTGGAACACTTCAGGAGGGGTCTCTGCTCAAGATATGGGACACAGACACAGAGAGAGAATGTCAGGAAAGCGGCAGTGGCCGGCCGGAGCAAGCGTGCGATACTTAGGGCTGCAGGAGGCAGGATTAGGGCATGGCATTCGCAACTCCAGATGCTAGTCAGGGCCTTTGATCCAAAGCATCTGGACTCTGCCCCAAGTCCTGGCAGACGTGTGGGCTGGCTGGCGGGCTGGGGATCACGGCAGCTGTAGCCAGACACACCTGGAAGGCACCAGGCCAGGCTGGGAGGGAGGTTCGGTGCAGGAGAACAGACTCCCCGAGCAACGGCGCTTTGTCCCCGGCTGTGAGGTCTCATGAGTCACAGCGGAGACAATGAACTCTGACGGCCAAAGCGATCCGGGTTTACCGACAGCCGACAGCCACTTCTGCGCAAGGCCTCCTTATCTGGGGCCCCAACGCCGGTTTCTGGAGCCACTGCTCCTTGCGTGCCCACGCAGCCAAGGCCAGGCGGTTGCTGGGCCAGTGGAACGGCTGCAGGAGGCCACGACACGAGGCCAGAGACAACCTGCGGGGCAGGCTGGGGAACAGAGGCGAGTCCTACTCGAGGTCTTCAAAAGGCTCGGTGGGAAATGTTCTCCTCCCAAAGCATGGCTGTCAGCAAGGGCTGCCCTCTTCCTCCGCCTCACCTGTCACCTTCCCATCCTGGCCCGGTTCGTAGAGAGGTTCCATGGGTGCGGGGGGAGGCGGGGGCTCGTACACAGGCCTCTGCACGTGCAGGTGGCCCTCTTGCTCTTGAGCAAGCTGCTCCAGGGCTTCCTGGCCACTCTCATCCTTCACTGGGGAGGAAAGAGGAAGAAGGACCGGGAGATTATGTACTGATTACATTTTTAATCCAACAAGTGCGAATGTTCTCTGGATTTATATTGAATGTTCTGTAGCTCATTTAAAACTTTTAAGGCTGGAAAAAAGACTGATGAAGAGGATCCCCGGGTTCAGTCCCCAGGTAGGGCTGGAAATATTCCCGCCTGAGCTTCTGCAGAACTGCTGCCAGCCAGTGTTGGCAAAGGGGCCTAGGAGGACCGAGACAGGTCTGATGTGGAGTCGGGCGGCTCCCCGTCCTCCCCATTTTCCTCTCCTGGGAGGGATCCTCTTCTGTTTTGTGGGAATTCAGATTGTTGAAGCTGTTTGTTCACATAAAATCATGTACTTGTATCTGCTCATAGAAAACAAATAAAAGTGATATTAAAAAGGGAGACGAAGGGGCAACGAAACCAAAAACCTCAGGCAGGGATGGGTCAGTGGGAAAACTGGCCCGTTACGAATTATTCTTCCTGACTTGAGACAAACCGGAGTCGGCTCTCTGGCACCACGGCCTTCGCGTCCTACCCGAGGCCTTGAAGTAGGCTGTATTGGTCATCCGAGCCACTTCCTCAAGAGTTAGCAACGGGGCGTCCTCTTCGGAGGCACAGCCACTTGGCTCGAGTTGAGAGCTGGTGGCTGGGAGCTGTTCCACCACTGCAGCAAGAAAAGGGGTATTACTCCAGAAGCTTCAGTGTAATTCAAGAGGGAGCTTCCCTCTTTGGGAGAAGAGGCACAGCTTAGTGGTAAAGCACAGTGCACAGAACGGCTCGTTCTCTGGCCCCCGAGGCGTTGTGGCCAGTCACTGTGGGAATGCGGGCAAAAGATCTGGATGGGAAATGGTGCGAGGCAGCTTCCCATCATCCCCCCCCATTTAAACATTTGCCCTGGTTCACATGCAGCACTACAGCACCGGCTGAGTCCCATGGAGTGTGTTCCCTCTCCTCTGCCAGCACAGCCAAGAGGAGGAGGCAAGGAACTCTCTCATCTCGTTGCAGCTCACTGAAAGAGAGTTATTTACTCTGTTCAGCACAGACAAACAGTGGTTAGTGCTAACCCTCTGGTTCAGGAAAAGAAACCTGGATGGTTAGCCGTGGTTAATGACCCAGCCTGTCTCACTAATCCCAGGGAGCCTTAACTGCCGCTTAACTGGAGAGAGCAAGCAGCCGCAGTTCGAGGGAAGCAGAAGTGGAAGTCTGCAGCCCCCTGACAGCTGCAGCCCGGAAGGCGAGGCGGGAGCGCACCCCCACGGCCATGATCTGCGAACGCTGATGCTGCGGCAAGGGAAAAAGAGCCAGCCTCAGAATATGCTCCACGGAGACACAGAATGTGGCATTTTCCTCCTTTTTAATGCTTCTCCTCAGACAAAGAGGCTTGTGGAGCAGCTTTCCACTAATCAATGAAAGAAAATAGCCCCTGTCCACGGAACAGTCACAAAACGGTGTGGCAGGCAAGGAAAAAGGGACGGGATGGAAGAGGGACTGGCAAAATGGCTCCACCTCCCCTCCCTCAGCACAGCCAGGGGAGGAGGAGGGCCTTAAGCTCAGATGCGATGGGAGGCTTCAAGCAAACACGTCCCTCCTGATTAACAGGCCCACTAGCCCAATGGAAACACGCTCCATTCCCTCTAAATGAGGCACCTCCTCTCCTTTTAAGTTGCTTTGCCTGCTTTCATCACTGTTTTATCGCACTTATTTCGCTCTGTAGAGCTTCCACTGTTCTCTAAATCCTCTAAGAAAAAATTCCACAGCCACATTATTCCATGGGAAGAAGAATTTCCCTTTATCCATGTCCCAGTCAGACAAGTTATGGGGCTCGCCCTTCCAATAGGCAGCCTAAAAGAAGGGTATTGGAGGCTCCATCGGTTTCTTATAAGCTACCCAAAATGTACTTAAGTGCTCTTGCTTCTCTTTGTAGAGTTAAAAGAATGTGGCCCATGCCAATATCTGGCCGTGGGGTTTGACGGATTCAACCAGACTTACCTGACCCCTTGCACTGCAAAGCCCAGTGACCCAGTCCCCCACACCTGAAGCACAGGTCAGAGCCTCGGTCCAACGGCCTGCCGCCTCCACCAAACTGTTCTCCCTTTTTCCGCCACTTCTGCTTCCACACCTGCGAAGACAGCAAGAGGCGGGCTAAGGCGAGAGCTGCCTGCCCTTCCTGCAGGGGCTTGGCTTCAGGGAACCAGGCAAAAGGGGACTAGCTTGATCGCAGCACGTCAAAACTTCTAAGGCAACTTTTCGGTTACATTCAACCATTTGAGAAACCATCCAGGACACCACTACGAAACAGCTGCTGGGGAGGCACGAAGCTCCGAGGTGCTGCGCACACGCCAGGCGTAGGGGCTGAGAGCTAGCATACTACGCAATTCCACTGTTTGCAGCCACAGCGGGAACCTTCTTCACGGCAATCTCAGCTACTGATAAGGCAAGGTATTCATCGTTATCAAAGCGGGAGGGACAGGCACCTGGGTGGACCCCATGAAAGATGCCCAGGGGCACAGTGGCGCCCTTAGACACCATGTTGCTGATCCTGCTCCAAGGCTTATCTCTATCAATAAAAGGCCGTACTCCAGTTCTGTGCATAAGGACTGGGGAGAATTAAGATGCATTCCTATACATGCCCAAACAGAAAAATATCCTACAGTTTCCAGCATGCCCCAGCCCACAAGGCTGGCTGGGGCATGCTGGGAGTTGTACTATTTTTTCTGTCGAAACATATAGGATTGTGCCAGGGCTGTTCAGGGCTCATTTGCTCAAATGCCAGCAAGGTGAGGACAGCTCATGATTTATAAGAAGACTGAAGTATAGAAACAACAACAACAACAGAAAGGTGCAGCTGACTGAAACACCTGTGCTGACCTGTTACAAGAGCAGGTGCAGGGGAAGGAGACAGGTATTCTACTGAACAAGTCAGTTATGCAACTCACTTGTTTAATGCATTTTAGGTGCAAGAAGAACTTATCTACCTGAAGTGACTGAAATATTGGCAAATGCGGTATCTACTTTGCTCTTGGAGTAACAGAAGAATACAAAGGCTTTCACAGTAATTTTCTTCCAGATTTATTTTTTTAAAAACTAGGAATTTGTTACTCCCAAGAGGAGCTCCTAAATTATGGCACAACACATTAAGACATTTAAACATCTCCTCGCTGCCTAATGGGAGAATGAATCACGGAGGTGGCTGTCAGAAGAACACATACATAATTTGTTTAAGTTCTGGACAGCTTCCATCTTGAAAACCCAAATTATTCAAATCACCCATTTCTCTAAATTTGCTGGAAGGCACTGATAAAAGCTGAAGCCTCAACAAGCCCAGTGGGGATGAAACTAAATGTTATTTATCAGAATGTTTCAAGCATAAATATTCTGTCTTGGGAAAGTAGTCAATGTATTTATTTTTAAAAATCATATATTCTGGTTTAAATTCCATTCAGGTCTTGTGAGTCAAGAAACTCTCATTCCAAAATCCCAGGAAAAATCTCTTTTACATCACTGTTGATACATGTAATTAATAAACAAGCACCAAACCTTGTGCACATCCCTTCTAGCTCGTCAGGCTTGCAAATGACTCTCACAGGGTCAAAGGGCAGCTCACCTGCTTGCGAAGCCGTCTCCCCTTCAGCACACACCCCTTCACGAAGGATTTCTTTTTGAGGTTGAGGCGTACAAAGTTGTCCTCCGTCCACGGCCGTGCCCTGGAAAGAAGCAAGCTCCCTCCATCAAGAAAGATCACCGCACTTACGTCACTTACGTCTCGCTGCAGAGGCCCTACCTGAACCCTGTCAGGACAAAGTGAGCAAAAGGTTTGCCATCGTATGGCCGCTAAAGGCCTGACACTGTAAGAACAACCTTAGACTTGGACGGGCCTGTCCTGAAAGGTCTTCCGGGAGTGGCGGGGGGGGGGGGGCATCCCAGACACGCCAATCGTTTGCCTTTCCTGAAGGTTCCTTTGCCCTGTGTTGTCTTAACCCTATTCAATCCCCGTTGTTTCACCCTGACATGCCTCCAGCAAGCTGCCTACCGCTTCCCCACCTCCTGGCTTCTCCAAAATGTGTGTGCAGCTGAAAGGTTCTAAAAGCTTCTTGCACAGGCTCCATCTCCGGAGTCCCTTCGGCGGCTGCCTACCTGCCGCAGGTATTTCCTGTACGGCTGAATAAACCGTACATGTTCTTTTGATTGTGCACCCCCAGCGGACCCTCGCAGGGTGTTTTCTTCACTCTTTTCAATACACACTGACAAAGGAGGTTTGGGTGTGAATGTCAGCTCAGAACTGGAGTTGCTTTAAGGGCCACTCCACAACCCTGAAAATAAGTTATGACAGGGAGGTTGGTTCTTCCTCTACTAACTCACATGACTCCCGACAGGTAATCAGGCATTCTATGGCTTGTTTCCCCCTCAGTCCTTCTGTCCAGGCCCTGCAAATGCCCTCCCCAGCAAAGGAGAGCTTATTTTGTTTATTTTCATACACACTGTAACAAATTGCTGAAATCTCCCTGAAGTGGGAGGAAGTGGAGATACCAGGGCTGCTCCAGAGATGGAAGTCCGGGCTCTGCCACTGGGCAGTCTTCTCTTCTCAGCAAGCCAGCGTGGCTGCCCCACAGGCCCCCTGGGGAGGACGTGCGAGCAAGACTAGCTTTGTACACGCCTCTGGAGAGAAGGGGCATGGACCTCCTCTCCCCATAAGTGTCCCGCAATCACAGCCTCAATATTTCTTTACTCTCTAAAGCTATGCTGGCTGTGGGAAGCTGGAAGATGTCTTTTAAAAAGTTACCATTTGCAGAGGATAATGCCCATTAAAATATTCACGGAAAGGATGTGTCCGCCCTCTCCTCCCTCTTGCAGCCATCTGCACCCAGCCCATCTTCCCAGACAGAAACTTACTGAGGGGTTGGGGGGGCCTCTGGAAAACTGAGATGAGGTGTGGGGCCTGTTGAGGATGACAGAATTGCCCAGAATCTGGCTTGGACCTCAAGACAAGTTAACTTAGGCGCAGTCCTGTGCATGTTCAGAGAGGAAAAAGCCATCTAATTCGCAACATGGCTGGCTGGGGGATGCTGGGAGCTGCAGGATTGTGCCTCCTGCTCTACCATGTCAGGGTCGTGCCCTAAAGAAAGTTCAGGGAAAGGTGCTCCTTCTCCTCCCCCACCCAACAGCTTGCCTGCTTCATTAGGAGAGAGGCTTTGCAGGGATCCCAGGTCCCGGCAGTGACGAGGAGGGGGCAGAAAACCGGCTGCTTGGCCAGTGTGAGGAGGACGGCCGCCTAGGCTGGCTCACCTCAGGACCCAACTCCTTCTGCTCTGCGAACGATGTGCACGGCGGTTCACCCACACTTCGCAGCATACGGCAGCATCCCCGGCCCCGATCACCGGGGTGCGTTTTGTGTCTGAGGGTGTCCTTTGCTTTACATTTATCAGGATGCATTTTGCACATTCTTTTTCATGTGGCTGAATTTATTATGCTATGCAAAACTGACTCTTGAAATGTCGCCACGGGACTGACCGTGTGTTGACAGTGTATAATTTTAGAAGGAAATTAGGAAAGTTGAAAAGAAGCCTTCTCTTCCCCCAAGTGGATTTGGGCAGGACAGAAGCTTCAGTAACACATGGCATGATGGCCCTCCTCTAGTCTGACAGAATGTTTCCACAACATATTGCATGAAACAGATGTTTGCCAAGCTGAAAATCTGCGGAGTGAGGCTCCAAAAAGGGCACTTCGTGCAACATGGACGGCACGAGCTCATCTTTTCTTGCACTCATCTGTGTGAGCGTGAACCCAGAAAGGAGGAAACATTACACAGGGCATAAGCGAGTGGGGGAGCTCTTCTCTCAGATACTTCAGTCAGCAAGGGAGAGTCTGCAGTGAAGGCCACCCTTTGCCCTAGAACTAAAGCTACATGTAGCAACTCCCCAGGCGATTTCCAGGCCACGTGTTCCCAGCTCCATTAAGGGACATACCTGCAGCCTAAGGCGCTGGGCCGCTTGGGGCACTCCTCTCCCTCCAGCTCCCCAAGCAGGTTTTCAGAAGGGAACGAGGATGCCACTCCCCTTTCCACTCGTTCTTCTGCAGTGCCGTGACCACCGTCATATTCATCGAGCCTCGGCTTACGACTGACAGCACACCGCTTCTTGACACATGCCCTGTCTCCTGCTTGTCCTTTAGTCCTCTTGCGCTTTACAGCAGAGGCGTCCCCTTCAGAACGATCCGCGCCATCCTCCTCTCGGGCTTCGGCGTCATGCAGTCTTTCCGCACAAGAGGCTTTTCGTCTCCGGGAAGCATGAAGCGGTCCATTCTCCACCTCACAGAAGACGCCGCTCAGCCCTGGCGATGGTCCTCCCAAAAGATGCTCGTCTGCTCTCTGAGCCGCTTCCTTTGCACAGGCCTCCGGTTTACGGACATCCTTGATGGTGGAAAACCCACCTGCAGCTTCAGTGAGTGCTGCCTTTACTTCTTCCTCGCTTGTCTGGTGATCCTGCACACTTTGGCTGAGGACGTCTCCCCCAGGTTGACTCAGGGGCAGCATGTCTTCCTGGCAGTTTCCTGTGAGAAACGTGCTGTGTGTCTCCCATTTCTTCTCTCCACTGTGTGGAAAAGGACCCGGTTTTTCCAGAGAACTGAATTCTGCTGATCCCTGGCATAACCCTGTCCTCCCAGCTGGGGCAGGACAGGACTCTCCTAGGTGCCCCTCTCCAGTCCGCTGTTTTTCCTTCCCCTGGCACCTCTCCAACCAACCAGGATCAAGGCTGCTCAGGTGTTTGGCCACTGTTTGCCTCAGCTGCTGAAACTTACCCAGTGGCAAAGGCCTGGGCTTGGATAAGGAAGGCTCAACAGGAGGCAGCCCCGCTGATGAGGAAGGGAGGGGAGCTGCCAGTTCGTTGGGATCGGGCTCAGAGAGTGGATCCGGACGACGCTTCGACAAAGGAGTCTTTGGTTGTTCGGAAGGCCCAGACTTGTCGGGCTGATATAGGTCCTTCTGCACCAGTGCCGCTGACCTCCTCCTGGGGGTGAGCGATTTCTTTAAAGTTACAGGACTCTCCTGGGAATGAGAGAAGAAAACACAAACCGCTCGCTGTCAGCTTATGTCTCTCTCTTTTCAAGGACAGGCTGGACATGCGCATGGTGGGCATGTCGCGAGTGGAGCCGGCTAGAGCCGGAGGTCAGACTAGATGGCCCGGTAGGTCCCTCCTGACTCGCTCTGTTTCTATGTATCCCAAAATGTTTTCTCTTCTTACTTTATGCCAGAGGTCCACCGCCCCTCTACACAGAACACTTTGGAAACCAGGCATGAGACGCCACGACCCATTGCCACTGAATGGGCCGTGACCCAATGACTGGGGGCTTGCTTTACATATAATAGCTTGCTCCCCCATCTTTCCAGTTAAACACTGGGGCCGAAAGCTTACTAAGCCAGCACCAGTAAGAAACATAGAAACAGAGTGAGTCAGAAGGGGTCTCCTGGGCCATCTAGTCTGACCCCAGGAAAAGACAGGCCTTTAAACATACAAACCCCCAACTAAATTACAGGCCTTAAAGAAGTTCCAAAGAACAGACATCACCAGGAAGCAAGGATTACCATTCCGCAAAAGAATTCCCAAAACATCCAGAGAAACTCCTTGGTAGCAAGAAAACACAAAACAGGATTCCACTCCTCCACATACTGCAGGCAATCCCAGATTATATGATCAATCATCTCTTGTAACTCACACATCTCACAACAGTCTGAATCAACCCGACCAGTCCTGGAAAGATTATTGCAAGACAGCACACTTAATATGCAAACCTATCTTGCTCTAACCACTAATTAAAAATTTGAAATTCACACAAAAGAAGGCGAAAGGAAAAAAATCTGCCAACCAGTGTCACCCAGTTTCCTCTGTCACTTACTGATTTCTCTCCAGATGACACAAGGAACTTTCCTCCGGGAGAGGGGCAAAGGGATAAGCAACACAAGAATAGGGCAAAGTACGCTTCACGATTTGCAGATAGATCAGCAGATTCATCACTCTCTAAACTACCCAAAAAAACACAACCAGATTCCCACAAGACGGAGCTCCATGCTCAAAGCCCAGATTTCATTCGCTAGTGCCTTCCTACAAGCCACTCCCGCAGCCTGAAGAGTCTGCAAGCCACAAAAAGAACCTGACAGAATCAGCACGTCGCCAGGCCTTGTATCCCTGGCCATTCAAAGGGCCCTTAAGTCTGCTGGCATAACTGAAACCCCATCGGACAAATGAAGTCCTTTCTGAATTCCAAAAATAGGGATAAAATACACTGAACGCACACCACCATTAAGGACATTTCTAGAACTGTCGGTATACGCACACAACACAAACTCCAGTGAGGGAAGAGATATTGTAACACCAAATCTCAAATACCTGTGTTCAAGTTTATACAGAAAAGTTACCATTTAGCATATTAACCATGTTTTTCTCAACGGATGACTGACCACTAAACTCAACTATTGTTCTTTACCCAGTCAGCTGATGTTTGTGGATGGCCCTCAGTTCTAAATAGGACATTTCATTTAGTTTAGTCTAATTTAATTTAATTTAATTTAATTTCAATATTTATATCCCATCCTTTACAAAACGTCCCAGGACAGCTTACAAAATTACAAATATGAATATGGCAATATGTTTGAATTCATTCCATAATGAGGTTTAGGGCATGAACGTGTATGTTTTGCACCAAAGGGTTAAGTTGGACCTGAGCTCTTCTCACCCCAAAGGTCCACCCTTCCCTGCTATTTAAGATTCCCTCATTTTATGGGACAAAAACAAGGAAAAAGTGCCCAAACTTTGCAAAAAATGTATTCATTAAATTTGCAGGCAATGTCAAAACAGAAATACAAAGATTAGAGGATTTAAGCTTGAGAAGCAAGATAATCTGTGCTAAAAGAGGATAAACTCCTCTAGAATTCATTTATCAGGATAAACGAACTGGATTTGGGGATAGATGAGAATTTGCTGTTGTTGTTAGTCGGGAAGTCATGTCCAACTCATCGCGACCCCATGGACAACATTCCTCCAGGCCTTCCTGTCCTCCACCATCCCCCAGAGTCCACTTAAGCTCACGCCAACTGCTTCAGTGACCCCAGCCTCCTCATCCTCTGCCGTCCCCTCCTCCTTTTGCCATCTATTGTTCCCAGCATCAGGCTCTTCTCCAGGGAGTCCTTCCTTCTCATTAGGTGGCCAAAGTATTTGAGTTTCATCTTCAGGATCTGGCCGTCCAAAGAGCAGCCAGGGTTGATCTCCTCTAGGACTCACCGGTTTGATCGCCTTGCTGTCCAGGGGACTCGCAGGATGAGAATATATATTCTTATTATTACAGAAATGTTTTATAATACTTCTTTCTATATCATGTTATAAAAACATGTCTGTAATGGAAACATTGTGCACCTAAGTTTGAAGAAGATTAAGGAGAGATCTGCTGAAGGCATTCCTAAGATTCACGTAGAAACGATCCTTAAGAGATTCCGTGGATGTGTAGAAAACATCTCGATGGTTGAGGAACGGGCCTTGCCCCACCCCTCTTGGTTTTACGGAATGATTCCTGGTGTGCAGCGAACTATAAATGTCAGTGGCCGTGAGCACAGAAACAAGGCGCTAGCCCTCAGGACTAATTAATCCAAAGTACAACGGTGGACTTGGTGGCAGGACCACCCTCTCTCCCCGGTCCCTTTTTACAAGGGAAATCACCCCTTGGTGCTTCAAGGACCCTGCCCCTCAGAAGCCAAGGTCCCTCTGTGCCCAGTCTGCGTGCAAAGCTACAATTCGTCTTCCACCAAACAAACCTTAACAGCTGCTCCCAAGTTGCATTTCAGCTTCATCCCAAAATACTGTGCAGAAGCCTGCAGCGGGTGCCGGTTCTCCGGAGATGGTTTAGCGGCCCTCTGGCCTCGATTCAGGTGCGCCCCCCAGCAATCCGAGCCAGAAACCTTAGGAAATGTACATAAATATGGTTATAAGGAAAAGCGAAAAACGCTGCTGTTAGGCTACTGTTCTGTACAGTTTGCATTTAGGGAAAAAAAGGCATGGAGTCACTGCAGAAAGGAGCTTCTAGATTTGTTTAACTACTGGAACCTATTACCTGGGGGAAGTTGTGAGCCATCCCTCACTAGAGACATTCAGGAAGTGTCTGGACAGTGGGATGGTGTGACTTAGTGCCCTGGAATAGGAGAAGGATAGACTCAGTGGTCTTCTGGCCCCTTCTCACTCTAGGAATGATTCTGTGAATGTACTCCAGCCCCCTGCTGTTGCAGGATACCACGTCATGCCACCCCACTCAGGTGGCTGTCCAGCACTGCCACAGCAGTCACACCGATTATTTATTTATTTATTTAGAATATTTATATGCCGTCCTGTCGCGAAGGCTTCAGGATGGCTTACATAAATAAATAAAAGTAATATAAAACATAATACAAATAAATTTAAGATCCACCCTGGCTGCAGATTAAAAACATATATAATCCAATATTAAAAGTTATTAAAATATTGGTGGAATAAAAAGGTCTTAACCTGGTGCCGAAAAACAAATAACAACGGCGCCAGGCGGACCTCTCTGGGGAGCACATTCCATAGATGGGGCGCCACCGCAGAGAAGGCTCTCCTCCGGGTACTTTGCCTCCTGATGTCTTTCATGGAGGGTTCCCGGAGGAGGGCCTCTGCTGCCGATCTCAGGGGGTGGGAGGGCAAATACAGAAGAAGGTGTTCCTTTAGGTATCCAGGTCCCAAGCCATTAAGGGCTTTATAGGTAATAACCAGCACCTTGAATTGAGCCCGGACTTCGATGGGAAGCCAGTGAAGCTGGTAGAGGACTGGGGTTATATGAGAGTAACGGCCAGTCCCCGTCAGCAACCTGGCATCTCTACTTTGCACCATCTGAAGTATACGGACCGTCTTCAAGGGCAGCCCCATGTACAGTGTGCTACAGAAATCCAACCGGGAAGTAACCAATGCATGTGTCACTGTCGCTAGGCAATCGTCCTACACTGTCCCTGTTCTGTTGCTTATCAAAGGCAGGGGCTGCTAGAGCAGAGGTTTTCAACTGCCGGTCTGCCGGAGATTTCCTGGCAGTCTGTGCATCCCATGCTGGGGACTGGCATGGGGGCTGGCTGTGCTCCACCACCTTTTCCTTGGTTGGCATCATGTTTGCAGGGGGTGTGCTGGTGCCAATGGGGGGGGCAGGAAGGAGAGAGACAGCTTTTTGTTTCTGCCTCAGCAATTCCCAACATGGTTTTCCTGTTTTCACCGGCCCCCAGCTGTGGAAAGGTTGAAAACCACTGGCTTAGAGGTCTTCACTTTTAACAAGAAGACTACTACAGTCATGGATGCTTTGCTTCCTACGGCAACTCCCACAGGTGGCATTCCCAGTAAGGAACATACTTGGACTGCCACACACAACAAAAATGGAGAAAGAGCCATTAATATGTCACAGGAATTTCAGGAAAGGTGAAGCGAAGGGCAGAATCGCATGCATGTTTAGACCGAAAAAAGTCCTACGCTTCTCACTATTGCACAACCAGCCCAGCAGGAAGTTTTGATTAGAAAAGCGGGGGGGAAACTATTGCATCGAACCTTTTCCTACAAGATCTGAGCTTACACAGAACAAAGTTACGTGCAAGGCACAAACGTCCCCATTACCTGTCCAGGTACTGGAGGTTCCTGAGTTCCTTGCTGGCAGACTGTCTCAGGGTCAGGGAGGCCGTGACGGCTCTTGGTTTCCTTCAGTGTCTTGTACTCTCTGTACAGTTCTGTGCGCAGACAGTGAAGAATGAATTCTGAGCACAAAAGGCATCAGCAGTCCAAATCAACCCCAAGGTCTACCGAGCCTAACACCCCTCGCAGGTAGTAGTTACTGTGCAGACAGTTGCGAGGTTGTGTAATCACCTAAGAACCAGGATCCAGTAAGGGCTCGTTCTAATAGATAATGGTTAAGAATTCTCTGACAGAGGGCACAAGGCTGTGTACATTTAGACAGAAAAAAGTCCTACACTCCTCATATGCTGCAGCTGGCATGCCTGCCTGGAAGGATGCTGGGAATTGTAGGCTTTTTTCTGTCCAAACATACATATCTTTGGGCTTTGAGTTAGATACTGAGGTGTGCAGCTTCAAGTGAAGCAACATGAAGGGCATGATCCTATGCAAGTTTATTGGTGTGCAGATAAATAATGGGAAATGACTATAATTGTAGTAATTACAATAATTAATATTGCATTTTTGATTACAGTATTGTATTTTGTAGCTGAATTTGTATTATTTCCATTTTATTGTAAGCCACCCAGAGAGCCCTATGGGCTATGGGCAGCATACAAATTATTATTATTATTAATAATAATAATAATATTGCGGAAGCAACAATTCTTTGTCCTATCAAGTAGCCTAATTCTGATATTTACCACTTTCATCCATCCCAACGTACAGAAAAGTCACACACTGCAAAGAATTACGCTTACTTTTGATTTCTTCAGGAGCCTCCACAACATCAGCCTAGAAAGCAAGTACAGACATATGAAGAAGCACATTTGGAAACCCACAAGCCTATAGTGAAGCTCAATTCCTTCACTATATTCAGTTCCTGCCCACAGTGTTTCCCATACCTTGCTTGGTCTCCTCTGGTGCACCTGATAAAATGCAGTCTCCCATTTTTTCAGTAGAAGTTTAACTTCATTGGATCTGTCCATAGCTTCCTCAGGCAGGTTTCCAAAAACTGTATAAGACAGAATTCCCAGATTAACTTGCTAACTCAAATTCACAGCCTTCAGAAACTTTGGCAGCAGGTAGCAAAGGGGGCCCTGCAGACCTCTATGCAGCCAGGTATCCAACTTGATTTTATATCATCACTAAGAGTAGAGCCATCTTTGACCAGTAAATTTGTTTCGACTTGAAACTTTTTACAATGGATGCGCACTGAATAATGTTTTATGAAATTCACCATTTTGTGGCTTTTAGCTAGTACTACTATCCTGCATGGGAGTCAATGTGGTATGGTGGTTCAGGCGTTGGACAGGGAATCTAGAAGATCCAGGTTTTAGTCCCACTCAACCATGAAGCTCACTGGGTTACTTTGGGCCAGTCACAGACCAGCCTAACCTACATTGTAGGATTGTTTCTGTGAGGATATATTGGAGAGAAGAACCTTATAAACCACCTCAGGTTTCTTGCAAGGTGGGGTATACATGGCATGTGATAATGTATGTATGTATGTAAAGCTTTTCTAGACCGTAACATTACCGAAGTCTCGGGACGGTTTAACAATACAAAATGTAAAAAATAAAACACAGAGTCTGTGTTTACAACCCCACCACCAAGCCATAATGTATGTTAACCACGGTTTGCTCCCTTAGCTATCAATTGTCTTACAGATGCGCAAACTGCAGCTTGTTTCCCCTAATGTTGGTGTGTTCCTCTCCCGTCCCTTTCGCCAGCCTTCAGAGCGTTTTTTTTCCAGGGTGCTCTTGTTGAGCAGCTCTGCTTCAGGGCAGACAGCATGTGCACAAACCAGGGGAAAACTGTGGTTCTTGGTTCAGACATCACAACAAGCTAAGCGAGGCTTCATATTTGCAGCTGGTTAACAACCTATGACTTCTTTGTGGGGATGCGTCCGAACACAATGGCAGGCCACATCTGAACAAACCACACGACGGTTTCGTGTCCTGGGCGCACCAGGCGACTCCCGTGCCATTACCTTTTCTCCTAATGCACCCAGCGCATTGCCCTCATTTTTAACGCGTTAGGCAGGGGAGCCATACTGCGCTCATAAGGGCCCCACAGCAGGGCGCGCCGGACAGCGCCTCCGCCGGAGCCCGTCCACGGAGAGGGCGCCGCGGCAGAAAAGGCCCCGCGCGCGGCTGCGAGCACGCGGCAGGACGGCAAGGCGCGGGGAGCGGGCGGCGCCGCGTACCTGGCCGCGCGGGCTCCGGGAGCGGCTCTTCCGGACCCGGGCGCCCCTCCTGCTGCTGCGGCGGCGCCTCACGAGCGGGAGCCTGGAGGGGCCCGCGCCCCGCCCCTTCCGCCCGCGCCTCGCCTCGCCTCGCCTCGCCTCGCCGCCTGACAGAATTCCTCGCTCCCGCGCGCGCCGCGGACAGCCAATCGGCCGGCTCGCTCGGGAGAACCTTGCCCGTCGCCATGGGAACGCTGAAGGGGCGGGGCGAGGGGGAGGCGGGGGCGGCCCTGGGCGACGTCCGCGCAGGCGCGCAATGGGAAGTACGGAGGCCGTTAGGGGGACGGCAGTGCGGCTCCGGGATGGGCTGAAGGAGGAGGAGGAAGAAGAGGAGGAGGAAGAAGAGGAGGAGAAGGAGAAGCGGCAGCCGCCGCCGCCGCCGCCGCAGCAGCAGCAGCAGCAGGGCGGCTCTGGGAGAGCGCGGGGACGGCAAGGGTAAGGGAGGCTGGCGGGATCATTTCCCGGGCTGGGCCGCGTTGCCGTGGAGACGGGGCCTGGGCTCCCCTTGCAGGGCGCGAAGTGGCGGGGGGGGGGCGGTTCTGCGGGCGGGCGCCAGACCCCCGGGAAGGCGGGCGGGTGGTGGGTCGAGACTGCGGGGCGCGGAGCGTGCCGGGATCTGCGGGGCTTCCGGGGGATGGGGAGCGGGGAGACAAAGGCACGCCCGCCTGCCCGGCCCGGCCCGGCCCGGCCGATGGGGTGGTGCTTGGGCGTGCAACGAGCGGGGGGCGCCACCTCTCGAGCCGCCCCGGGCGCACGGGCAGCGCCGAGCAGCGGCTTTGCGAGGGTGTTGAATGGCTGGGCCGGGGGACAAAAGGGGAAGGGCCCGCGCTCGTCTCCCCCGCTTGCACCGCGGCCTCTCGCGTTGGTGGCCTTTGCCCCTCCGCTGTGGCGAGCGCTGCTCCCCCTCTGGAGCACGGGCGCCCGCATCTCCCCTTCGTGCGCCTGGCAGAGCGGGCTCCCGGCCACGGAGGCTTCGGGCGCGGGCTCGGGGTCCCGCTCCGGCGTCCCCGCATGGCCCCACCCACCCATCCATCTCTTCGTGTTTTCCGCGCTCTGTGCAGGCCTCTCTCCCCTTCCAAAAGGCTGCGGCGCCCGTCCCTCCTGAGAGTCGTTGCAAGTGGCGGGAGCTTTCAGGAAACGGTGCTGGCAGTTGGGGAGCCCCCCCCCCTTGGTCTGGGACCGCCCCCGCCCCCGGAATGCGTCCCCCGCAGCACTGCGGAAATGGAGGCCAGTCCTCAGGTTTTGGCACAGTAAGTGCCACGAGATTCCTTATGGGTTTTGCTGCTGAAGCACTGAATGTTTTCCACACAGGGGTCTCAGTGGAGGCTCGCGGGGCGTTCTCTACATTGAAAGGAATATAGTAGAAGCCCCCTAGAGAAGTGTAGCAAACGAGGGTGCAAGGAGTTAGAAGGGGATGCCACATTTTCAGGATCTTCTATGTAAGAAAAATTCTTTGCATAGAAAAAACAAACGTACCTACAAGTGGGCACTGCTAGACCCTTTCTACCTTAGGTACTAACCTCTTCAGGTACGGAGCTTTTATTTATTTTTTAACCAGAGGAGCATGCAAAAATGGCATCCCTTTACTTTCCTGGTAGATGTACCTGTATGAGACTTGTACTTGTGAATGTGTATTGATCTCATATGCATGCTCTATTTACTGGTGTTTGTTTGTTTGTTTGTTTATTTCTGTGCTACCCGATAGCTGGAGTTCTCTGGCAAGTTTATTAAACAATTGTGGATACACACCTAAAAAAGAATGGCTGAGAGGAATTAGGAAATCCTATTGTGGGGCTGGTTTCTTGGATGAAAGTGAAGGGGAGATTATTTCCCTGAACGCACTGATTCAGCAAGTATTACTTTAAAAGCAACAGGGAAATGTAGTGAGTCTGACTGTATTTCTGCCCTCTGAATTATGCCCAGAGTAATTTTGTGATGACTGAATCAGTTAATCATGACACTTTCCAATTTGATTATCATGGCACCTTCAAGACTAATTTATTTTGGCATAAACTTTCATGAACAGTGCTAACTTCATTAGATGCATGATGTGTTAATCTCAAGTTGGCAGATTTATTTGCTCACACACATGAGGGGAGGGGTGCAAAAAGTTATTCTTACCATAACGGTGGCCATTCACCAATTGTTGGTGGGTGATAATACATGCATCACTGCAATAATTCACAGGTAGTTGTGTTAAGTCTTCGTCTGTATCAGCGGGTTATACGTCTGCTTATATTACCATGTGATATGTGCATGCTGGGTAACTAGGCTATTTCCCTAATTACTCACCTTGGAGTAGCTTATCATATTATCATTCTTATATTCATTAAATAGGATGTTAATTAAATGAATTCGAACCCAGGTAGCAAGCCTTGTTTGTGGGGGAAACAGCCCCCGAACACTTCAGTGGCCCATGGTAATCCTGTGAACCAGCCCATTGTTAGAGCGTTTTGAATCGCGTGGGGGAGAGTTCTGAATATATATATATATATATATATATATATATTTTTTTCTTTCCACAGTTACGTGGCACTGGGGCTTCGGTTTGCTGCCTGCCCTGTTGCGCCATGCATTCCTTGGTATTCCTCTGTGCGCAGAAGGTTGTCTCGCACTACGCCACCCTGCAAGATGCCCTGGGGTTCCTCCCGAAAGAGCTCTATCCCGTCTTGTTTAAGGCAGCCTTCATGGACAAGAGGACTCCATCGCTGCAACAGCTAGTGCAGGCCTGGCCATTCCCGGTCCTCAGCTTTCAGAAGCTCTTGCGGAGGTGCCAGCATTGTGAACGTGCCCTGATCCGAGAGAAGCCAAACAAGTTGTGCATCCAGGCGGTTATTTTGGGGGTGGTGACGTACCTGATGAAGATGATAGAGGATCGACACTGCATTAAGAGGTATCGGACAGTTCCCATGGTCCTAGTTCTCTCATTGTGTGCGTGTGTCTGCCTGCCTGCCTGCCTGCCTGCCTGCCTGCTACTGATGGTTCTGTATTTGCTGTGAGCCCTTTAGCAGCATAAGGGCATTCAAGCCTGCGCACTTGGAAGGTTCTGATTCATGTCCCCCACCTTCTCGGCTTTTCAGATTAAATTATTGTCACGTTTCCATTCTGCTGTACCATTTGTAAGGTTTTGAAGGCCATCCTAATATCTGTCCTGGGATTTCTAGTTTGTCGTCCAGGTGTTCCCAGGTAGCATATGGCATTGTGGTCCTTGCCTAGGAGTCCAGACAGCGGAGTCCATTGCATCCTGTGCTTGACTCGCATGCTAACATGTTCTTCCAGGTGCACCATAAAGCCCTTACCAGGAATACAAATTGTTCATAATTATCGTGGAACCGATTGATCTGCTTTGCACATATGTGTGGCTTCCATATAGCCTGAAGTGCCTGATGCTGCCTAATCTTGGGGCCCCGGTCAAAATCTGGATGGGTGACTAAAATGTGACCCACCCAGAGAGCTTTGACTGTAGGCAGTACAGAAATGTGATAATAATAATAATAATAATAATAATAATAGCACCAGTGACCCACGGTTATTCATCTGGTGGCTTGTTGGTCTAATCAAAGTTCCTCTGGCAGATGGTCCATCAAGCTGACATGCTCTCTCAGTTCCTGTGTTGTTTCTTCTTCTTCTTTGTCCAGTCCGTGCATATCTAATGCCTTTGTGGTGTTGTCGTGCTGGTAGGCACCGTGGCTGATGTGTTTGACCACTTTGCTCGTTACCCCTGTGGCCTAGCAAAACAACACAAGATTCTGTGTTGACATGTAACAACCCATAGTTTAAACAACCTAGAGTTCACAACTCAACGGCAAACCATAGGTTCTTTGCCTGGGTGGTTCATGGTTAACAAACCATGGTTTGCTAGCATGGCTGAGTTTACACATTGTGACAACCTAGAATTCAGTAATCGACAAGATCATTGTGTTTTGCCTTTCATAAATATGTTGGCAGAGACTCTATTGACCTGCTCTTTTGGGAGGAGAGTATTAATAAATACTAAGGCACCCTGGCAGGACTTTCCCTGAATGGCAGCTCACAGGTCTTGTAGGCAAACTAAACAAGTGCTCTCATCATGGTTGCAGTTTGGGGCTTCAGACTCTGCGCTGTGCTTGGTCAGGCCAGCCTAGATTGGTGGGGGTCCTCCGCACCTCGTACAGAGAGGGAGAGGCCTTTCAACGGGCAGTGCCAGTCGTGGTATCTGCATGCAGTGTGTCGCCCCTCCCCAGCAGAGACTCTCGGAGTGTGTGCGGAGGGGCGTCCATTCTGCTTGGCAAAGGGTCGCTTTCAGTCACAACCTCCTCGTGGAGCCGACGGGTCCGGGCTCATCATGGCTAAACAAGTTTGCTCGGTTACCCACAAGTGGCTGGATTCACGCAACCTGGCAAACAACCCCGCACTGTCTCCATGGTATGCAGATGTTTGCCCGAGCTTACAAATCAAATGATCAGCGGTTTTCAGGACGGTGCAGCTTCTCCACTGTGTCCTCCCAGCCTTGCCATGCTTCCCAGCAGCTCCTGTGAGAACAATCCTGCCTTTTCCCTATTCTTGCCCATGAACTGCCCCGGCCTCCCCCTGACTGGTGTCCTGCGGTCCTGAAACATGTCCCCCCTCCAGACACGTCTGTGGTGCTGCCCAGCCTCTCCAGCCCCCACTGAAATTTTTGTTCAGTGAACATAAAGAGCTTTGCTGCTATTCACTCCTCCCTCCATGTATTTTCACGCTGTTTCCTGAAGTAAACAGAAAGATGGACCCTGCTCATTGAGCAGGAATAAAGTGAGCAAGAACATACATGTTGCTCGGCAGAACTCGGGGGCCAGAGGAAGCCCCTCCTGCAGTTCCTCTTGCCAGAGGATTCCGTGCTGTGTCCAGGCCAACAACGGTAAATGGTGGTCCCAGATCTGGATGACCAAAGAAGCCGCAGTGAAGTGCGGAAACCTTCAAACAGGCCGTTGGTTCTTTCTGAGGTTTCAGAAACTTCACCCCTGGAAGTGGTCCAGATGACACAACTGACCCACAATGGTAAGAGTTCACCATGGGCTTCTTGTGTAGTGTGAACCCACCCAGTAACTCGGTTCATACTGCACAAAAAGCAACCCTTGTGGTTACCATGGTTCATGGTTTTTTTTGCAATGATCTGCCTGACAGGTAGCAAGCAGTTTCTATGTTATCATGGTTTCTACCCTTCCTACTCAGTCCTTCCACTGTTGGCATGTATCCCATCAGCCACCATGCCCGAAATTCAGTCCTGAGCTGTCACTCTTCCTCATTGGTCCACATGTTTGTTACTCGCCGAGGACAGTCGAGGCAGGGTTGCTGAAGCACTGCCGGGAGTGGCCACTCTTTCCAGGGTAATCCCTAGTGGTCACATCCCAGGACGGTGGAAACCGCAGTTGGATTTGGACCACATAGCAAGCCATGGTGGTATGGAGCAATCATAAAACAAATGTTATTTTTTTCCCATGGTTCCTAAAGCCCAGACTTACCATGGTGACGTATGACAACTTGACAGATCAATAGTAAACCACAATGGCTTTTCTTGTCTGAACGCAGCCAGGCCGCAAAATGTTTCCACAGGCCCAACCAGCCGGACTTTGCAGTCTTGGCCTTGCTTCCTAACCTGGTGTTAGCTTCTGTGGTTCCTTCGCTGTTACAAAGGCAATCAGATTCTTGTCCTTCCCTGTTTTTATGAAGCTGGTAGGAGTTAAAGGGGAACAGGAACGCAACAGAAGGCAATTTTGCACATGCCCTGGATAGACGCTTAGAAGCCATTCCTTGAACTGTGATCTAAGGAATGACATTATATGGCCCCAGTGCTGCTGCACCAGAAAAAACGCGGCTCTCTCCACAGCCGTGCCCCGATCCCTCTTCGCAATCATTAGTTTCTTGTTCGGTGCTCCCAGGGTGCAGGAGACCCATCCCGTATTTTAAAATGCGACATGGGAGAAACAGCCCAAGACTGGGAGCTACTGGGAGAAAGGCAAGCAGGGAAGCCGCAAACGGCCATTCAGTTGCATGTATTTGTCCTGAGCTCTGAAACGAGGGGGCAGCGCCTGATTTTCCTTCGGGTAGTGCACCTTCCCTGTACCTTCAGGAGATACGGCAACCAGTGGTGGGCTGTGGCCAGCTGGAGGAGCCTTGGGGAAGGGAGGACCTGCAGGAGGAGGAAGCTGCGCCGCTGCTCTTAACGCCGTGCTTTGTTCGCCCTCTCCGACAGCAAGGGGCAGCGGCTGCAGGTCCTCGACATGACTGGCCTCCAGGACGAAGGGCAGGGCCCCGAGAGCATGAGTCTCTGGTCCAGAACCGTCACGCTGGCGAAGGCTTGCCTCGACATCTCCAAGCAGCAGAGCAAGTGCGTGAAGCGGGCTTCCAAGAGGCGGAAGGGCCCCTACAACAACTCCGTGGCCCTGCCGCCCCCTCAGCCGGTGTCCGTGGACGTGTGGGTGGACCTCTTTGTGAACAGCACCTCCTACGGAGTCCTGAAGGATGCCTTGCAGACCAACAGCAGCAACGCGCTGCGGCTGAGGTGCCGGAACTTCCGGGCGGAGGAGCTCTCCATCGCCAGTACTGTGGGGCTCTTGGAGTTCCTGGACCCGGCCGGGGTGCGCCAGGTGGACCTGAGGTTCAACAACCTGGGGCTGTCCGGCTTGAGGGTTGTCTTGCCACACCTGGCCAAGTTCACAAACCTGGCCAGCCTGAAGCTGCCCTACAGCAATATCGACGTACGGCGCCTCACGGTGGGCATGGAGGGGAGCCTGCAGTACTTTGCCACCCAGCTCAGCCGCCTGAGCTGCCTCAAGGAGCTGAACCTGGGCTCCTCCAGGCTGTCGGGCAAGCTCCGGCAGCTCCTCGGGTAAGCCACGCAGGAAGCTCTTCGTGGGCAAGGGGGTGGGCCGCGGGGAGGAGTTCAGATGGCAGATGTGATACCTGGATGCTGAGAGATTGCGCTCATAGAATAAGTGAAGCTTTACGGGTGGGAGTCACCAAAATTACAAAAGAAACACTTATAAAAATCTCACAAAATTTAAAAACAAAGTCAAACATTCAAAAGCAGTTACGCTATTTGGTACGTCATGTTGGCCAGTTTAACCATGGAGTCTGAGTTCCCTGTCCCAACTATATTCCAGCCTGTTTCCAGGCACCGTTCAAGGTGCTGGGGCTTAACTAGAAAGCCCTAAATGGTTCGGGGTGGGGAACACTGTCCCATATATGCTTCCCCATATCTTAAGATTAGTCCTGGAGGCCTTGTGTTATGTCTCGCACCAATAGAGGCTATGGTGGTCAGAGCATGGGACAGAGTCTTTTTTGGCAGCACCCAAATTGTGGCATTTCTTCCTGAAGGGGAAGTAAAACAGACCTTTGTCCTGCTCTTTCATTTGCAATCGTGCCTCCAGCATTTAAAGTTTAAGGATGTCCCATCCCTCTTGAACTCTCCCTTCAGAATATCTAGCCATGAGATCCTACCCAACTTTTCTTCTTAGAAAGTGGCTTTCTAAGTTCTTGCCATGTTCACCCTCAGTCCCTTATTCCTTGTTGGCTCAGATTAAGTCCAGAATAGCCGCAATCTCTTGCTAATGGCTCAGCTATGTGAAAATGTTTGTCATCTCTTCTGAAGACTTTCATCCTTGTCTTCTGGCTGGCAGTGTGATCTGCAGGGTACTGTCATGGCAGCGTCACTCTTGCTTTCCACTCTTGCCCTTATCCAGGGGGCTTTAGCTGCACTTCCTACATGCATGCATTTCTGTGCAGGTGTGTCCATTCTTGACCTGCAGAGCCATTTTGCTTCTTGGTCTGTTTCTCTGGATCAGAGGATACTTTTCAGCTGCTCTCTTCCACTTAAAAAGTCACATCCAACTCAGGTCTCAGTGACAGCTCTCTGGGCAGGCAAACCATCCCACACCTGGATTTCAGGTCCATAGTGCCTGTTTCCCGGACAGCCCCTCCATGTCCGTATGCAGCCAGCAGGGACCACAGGTGTGGCGCCTTCCCAGTCTCCCTCGTCTTTCAACTTGCAAATTATGAGGCTCAATTTACACTCTCTTGCCTCCCTCTTTGTTATTTGCATTCTTGCCCCTAATATGTAGGTCAGTAAGTAGCGTGGGGCTTCTATCACTCATACCCCCAGGAGTTAAGGCCAGGCCCTCTTGATCAGGTTTCTGAGGCAGCTGTCCAATCTATTCTTCCCGGTTCCAGTGAGGTGCACCCCATTCTCTGCCTGGAGTCCTGCGTACTGGCAGGCCGCAGACAACAAAAGCATATCTTCCTCAGTGGCTCCTGGAATCATAGAATAGTAGAGTTGGAAAGGGCCAGAAGGCCATTGGGTCCAAGAAATCCTTCTCTTGCTCACGCCTTTTGTTCTGGATGTATCTGAAGAAGGCTTTCTTGTTCTTCTTAGCATTCCTTGCTATTCTCAGTTCATTTCCTGCATAGTCAGCTGTTCACTTGTAGTATCTTCCTTTTGCAACCAACTTCCTGCTTGAGCATCGAGCAGGAAGTTGGACTCAAACGGCTTATACGTCATTTCCAACTCTACTATTCTAGAATTTTGTGGATAATGAGAGACCACTTGTGGCTCCCCCCCCCCTTTTTCATTTTCCTACACAGAGCTTCACAGTCTTTGGTTATCTATTGAACGTTTCCTCTGACTGTACTATTTCTTCTCACACTAATCAGAGGATGATAGTTGTCAGGTGGTTTTATTCCTGGCACCTTCTTTATATTTTTTATTTGTTCACATATTTATATGTTGCCTATAACTGCCAGAGGCCTTCCTAGGCGGCTTACAAGTAATGAACGCATCTTTCTCGCATCTTGAATACACTTTATGTGAAGGCAACAAACCTGCCCGGGTGACAAGCCTGTTCTTCCCTTGGCGGCCTCTGTCCCTCTCAGGGAGTCTCACAACCACCGTCGCCACGCACCTCTCTCAAGCCACACCTTGATTTGCAGTGCTGCAGAGCGGGAACGTCCAGCTGGGCCGTCTGGAGGTGCCCGACTACCGTCCGCTCATACTTAAGGGGCCCAGAGGGAGTTGGGATGAAGGGGGTGCGTCACACAGTGGGCCCATTCGAGCAACCACTTGGTTTCTGCCACATGGTGTTTTACGCATGCGGTGCAAAGGAGGAGCTGCTGGTCTGAGCCCCCTCCAGTGAAAACAGGAGGCAAAATGCTTGTAGGCCATTTCTGTACCAGTCCTTTGCTCTGAGAGGAGTCCCATTAAGCTTGGAGCAGGTAAGGACTGCAGCAAGACACGCTGTGGGTCGCTAACGGTCTCCTTTCCTGCCCCCGCAGAGATTTGCAGAGCCCCCTGGAGAGCCTGGAGCTGGCCTTTTGTTACCTCCTGCCCAATGACTTTGCCTACCTTTCGCAAAGCCTGCACACGCCCGCCCTGAAGAAGCTGGACCTCAGTGGGAACAACCTCTCCGACGGGCTTCTTCAGCCCTTCCAGGGCCTGCTGACGGAGGCGGCGTCCACCCTCCTGCACCTGGACATCATGGAATGCCGCCTGATGGACACGCACCTGAACCTGCTCCTCCCGGCCCTCTGCCGCTGCTCCCGGCTCCGCTACCTGGGGGTGTTTGGCAACCCCATCTCAGCCAAGGGACTGAAGAACCTGCTGCACAGGGTGGTGGGCCTGCTGGACTTGAAGCTGGTCATCTACCCCTACCCCGTGGACTGCTACGGGGAAGACCTGCCCTGGCCCCCCACCTCCTCCAACCTGCTTAACGGCTCTGTGGATGAGGTGAAGTTTGCCCGGATCAGCAACGAACTGCAGCAGATGCTGCTGAGCGCAAACAGGGCAGATGCCGTCTGGACCACAAACCTTTGCCGCCACAATAGTCTGGACTATTTCAGTTTATAGCCCAGCTGGCTTCACTGCCCCTTTGCCAAGAGGCGTAAGGTGTGGCCCCTCCCTCCTCTGCCGCCACTCAGCCGCTCGCATTCCCCGCCTCCCACCGCCTTGCCATGACGGGGCTGCCCTGGTGCTCCAGGCAACGCGAGGGGCTTGGGGTCGTGCTGGCGGCGCTCTCCCCCGGCATCTTCAAGCAGCAGGCAGGAGACCACACACAGCCACCTACGCCCTGCTTTGTTCGTTCTTTGCTCTGGGGGGATCACACGCCTGCCCCTTAGCCTTGGGGGACAAGCGGACGGAATAGCCAGCAGAAGCCGCTCAGTAGCCGCTGGGGAGGGGAGAGCAGGGGGAGGCAAGCGACGGACGTGGCTGGGGGCATGCATGGTGTATCTGCATCGGGTTGAGAACCGCTGCCAGCCTCGAATGCCAGGCCGAAACGTCTTTTCTTTTCTTTTTTGAACTAAAGCCCTTTTTAGTGCATGCAGAAGTATCTGGGATTAGCTTTTGGGAGGGATTTTTAAACATCTATTTTGTAACATCTTATTTAGAACTTTGTGAGGTGGGTATCATCTTTGCTGTGTGGTGTTACAAGCATCTGAGAGGGAGGCCGATCGGATGCGTCAGAAGTATTGGATCCCTTTCTTGAACGGACTGGGTGGGAGCAGGCAGTCTAGTCAGGGCAAAAGGGAGGGAGGCAAGGCTACGGAGCTAACTTTGGACCTGAAATAAAGGATGATTCATTCGCGACTGACTGCGTGTCTGGTGTCTGCGTGTGAGGAGCAGCTTTCCTCCAGAAGCAGGAAAAGAGTTGGTCACCGCACTGTGAAGTGTGGCTGGCAGTACCACAGGATCTGTATTGTGGCTGGGAGATCGAACTAGGGGAATGGTGCTTCTGGGGATCACGGCGAGGAGCTTAATTGCTGGTCGAGCTGAACAGCCTAGCCCCTCCTGCGTGCTCACATATCGGAGCGTGCCTGGGGGCTGAGCCTTCTCTTTGTAAGAAAATCACCCTGTACCAGGTCTTGGGCCAAAAACCTAGCACTAGGTTGCACTGAGGACGGCCTGCTTGCCTTTTACAAGCGCTGCGTGAAGCTGTTACTTGCGTTCTTTTTTGATGGCGGAAAACTCGTGAGAATGCGAGAAGAACAGGCTGGCGCTCGCCCGACAGTTGCGGAGCAGCTAGTGGCAGGCGCCGCTTATACCTTGGTCGTGACGATACGTGGAGGAGCCCTGAAGAGCCTGCAGGAAGCTACTGGTGGGGCAGCTCTTGAGGCCCTTCCGCCCTCCGTGCCACAGGACAGCGGAGAGGTCTCAACCCTCAGCCTGCCTGTTTTGATGGTTTTGTTCAGCTGCTGCAGTCGGAGGACAGACAGAAGCAAGCCGCTTCCTTGGTCTCTCGGCTGCTGGAGGGCAGCTCAGGATGAGTCGAGCCGCCTCCTTTTCAGAAGGCCTGTAGGATGCCAGCTGCATCTGTGGTTATTCTAGTGATTTGCCAACAACTGGGAGAGCGGCTTCCCTGGAGTTCAGGGCCAACCGGAGTGGCCGAAACGGCCTGTAGCATCCGCTTCCACGTGCCTCCTATTTGGACCAGGGGCGTGTAGGTCATCTCTGTGAGGAACCCAGTCGATGGAGGTGCCACCCCTTCCAGCACAGGCTGCCCAGGCCCACACTCTCCCCCCCCCCACCCACCCGGGGTTGGCTGCGCACGAGCCGTGATGGCACAATGGTGGCGACCTCAGCAGGGGAGGTCGTGCTCCCCCAGAATTCTTGGCCCGGGGAGAACTGGCTGAAAGGCCCTCCGGAAAGGAGAGAGCGGGTTTGCGCAGGTACAGCATAGGACAGAAGTACAGGATGTGCGTGGGGACTGCTGGTTTCTCCCAGGACGGCCTCCCGCCTGCGGGCCATTTCTCCCTTTCCCAGGCCCCCCAGACCCACATGCAGCAGCCCAGGCTGGCTGGCTGGAGATGTGTCTCCCTTGGAGAAACTGCTAGGCCAAGCCCTCAACTGCAGCTCTTCCGATACCACGAAGCCCAGGCTGGCTTGTCTCTGTAGGCCCCCGCTGGGTCTACTACAAGGGAAGAGCTGCCCCCTGAGGCAGGGGAGGGCCTCGTGCGGCCGTGGCGGTGCTGATCCAAGGCCTTTTGCAGGCACTGAGGTTCCCAGAGAGGGACAGAAGGCTCCCTTGCTCCACCTCGTGCAGCTGAGTCAACAGCTGAGCTCTCCAGGGCGCCTTCCTAGCCCTGCCTGGAGATGCTGCCGGGCACCAGCCGGGGTGGGAAGCAGGTGCTACGGTCCCTCCTGTGGCAAAGTCCCTGCATTGGATCTGGGCGGCAACCGTGAGTTGGGCTTGACCCTCCAGCCCGTTGGGGGTGGGACCCCCTGCATCCATCTAACGCTGGTCTGTTGCTCAAAGAAGGGGCTCTGCCATGAGCCACGGCCTCTCCCCATGGGTCACTCCCTTCCCCGACATCCAGTGCTACATCATGCGTTGAAGTAGGTTGACACGGGAATGCCTCACCCTCATCACTTGCCCACGGTCCTGCTCCTGTCCCAGTTGTCTTCTCCCGTTACAGAAGTTGGAGTATACATAATTTTATTTGGGCCTGTGAGGGCTTCAAGGTTTTGAGTAATGCAGAACTCTTGTTCATCTTCAATCTCATCAGCAAAGATGGTTTGCAGCCTAATTAATACCAGAATCTGGAAGGCAGCAAGTCCACTGTAGTTTAGCACAGCCACCAAATCACGCGAAGTCCTGGCTCCCCTCTGTTAGCGCTACTTCAGCCACTGGGCACCACAGGCTAAGAAAGCTGCAGACAACTTGGAAGACATTCAACAACGAGGATGAGCAGGGCCTGGAGACAAGGGAGCGAGAGCTGGGCATGCTTGACCTTGAGAAGATTAAGGAGAGATGCGATAGCACTTTTCAAACACTTGAAAGGCTGCCACACCGAGGAGAACCAGGATCTCTTGTCCATCAAATTACGGGAAGTCAAATTCTGTCAGGACGGGAAGAACTTCCCAACCTTTGCAGCAGTGCAGCAATGGAACCCACGGCCGACGGAGGTGGTGGGCTCTCTCACGCTGGAGGCATTCACGAGGCAACTGGACAGCCGTCTGGGAGGGGTGGTTTAACCTGCATGAAGCAGGGGGGCTGGACTTGATGTCCTTATGGGCCCCTTTCCCACTCTTCTAGGATCCTTGAAGCTCTCCATTAGTAGAGCTTCAGTCTTCACTATGCAAGGTAGATCACCCCACACCCCCATCTTCACTGAGAAAGTACAGGAGTCCTGGTCCCAGTGAATAAGTCCCATTTTATATGCCAGTTGACCTCAGTAAGAGCAATTTCTTGTCGTCTTGCGGAATTTCTAGTGGGACCTGCATTTTTAAGCAGGGCCTCTTCCACCAGTAAAATGCTCTCGCTTTCCAACTTAGACAAGTCGACCCTCTTTCGTTTCTGAGGGTTTGCATAGCTTGCTTTGATTCTTACTCATTTCTGCAGTTTTCTTTTAGCTTCACAGGGTAGCAAGCTACTACTCATGACGTCTACAGACCACCTCCAGATTCAGAGCCACAAAGAGGCCCTCCTCCGGGAGCCCTCTTTGAAGAGGTCAGGAGACAGAGCGCTCGGAGCAGGGCCTTCTCTGCGGTGGCGCCCCAACTGTGGAATGCGCTCCCCAGAGAGGTCCGCCTGGCGCCGTTACTATATGCTTTTCGGTGCCAGGTCAAGACCTTTTTATTTGACCAATATTTTAAAGTTAATTAATTTTCATACTATATTTATTTAATCCATTTTAACTATGTTATTTTATACTGTCGTGGAATAGCCAATTTATTTATTTGTTTAGGATTGGTGGGTTTTAATGTTTGTAAACCACCCAGAGAGCCCTCTGGGCTATTAGGGTGGTATATAAATGCAAATAATAAATAAATAGAATAGCAGTGTTGGAAGGGGCCATGAAGGCCATGCGGTCCCACTCCCTGCTGTTGCAGGACACCACGTCACACCACCCCACTCAGGTGGCTGCCCAGTTTCTTTCTGAATGTGTCCAATGTGGGAGAGCCCCCCACCTCTCCGGGCAGCTGATCCCACTGTTGCATCGTGCTGACAGTGAGGAAGCGTTTCCTGATGTCCAGCCTGAATCTGGGTTGTTGCAACTTGGACTGATTATTCCGTGTTCTGCACTCTGGCGTCAGCAAGAAGAGATCTTGACCTTCCTCTTTGTGGCAGCCTTGGAGGTATTTTTAGAGGGATACCATGTCCCCCCTCAGTCTCCTCAAGGCTGAACATGCCCAGTTCTCCCCGTCCCTCCCCACAGGGCAGTGTCTCCAAACCCTGCATCATTTCTGTCGCCCTCCGCTGGTCCCTTTCTAATTTACCTGCATCTTCCTGAAATCTTGGTGCCCAGAACTGGGCACAGGATTCCAGGTGAGGTCTGACCAGTGGGGAGTACAGAGGAACTACTACTTCTGATTTGGAAGTAATCCTTCTGGTAATGCATCTCAAAATAGCATGTGCCCTTTTGGCGGCTGCCGAGGGCTTCCGAGGGCTGCTTGCTGGCTGCCGTGGGGGCCAAATGCCGGACTGCATCGCCCTTAGTCTGATCCAGTGGGGCTTCCCTCATGTGCGAACGGGCAAGAAGGCTTCCCTCGCACTCGCTCGACTGTCGCTCGAGCCCCTGAAAGTGTGCTATCTGGGCAGACTGCGTCCCCATTTCACACATCATGGTCAGTTTTCGACACTGTGTCAGTTCAATAATGAGGTTCAGTTTCCAGGGCTATAGATTTGAGAGAAATACTTGGGAAATCCTTGCCAAAAGATGTGCTGCAGAAGGCAGGCATTATGTAAACAGAGTGGGGACTGGCAAGCGGGGAAACCCTGAGTGTAAAAATCCAGGTGCAGGACAGAGGAGAGGCGGACAGAAACATGGGCAGGAGTACAAAAAAGCTGAAGAAAAGCAAAGCAGCAGAAAAAATACTTTATTGGTGGACATACTCTGTCTCATCAGAACTTGACTTATTAGATTGTGTATGTGGAGGGTTGAATTAGGGTTGGAGATGTAAAGGTCACATGGAAAAACACACAAACTTTCATTTTAAACCAGAAAGAACTTTGAAACTCTTGGGTGTTCTTTTGAAAGTGAGAAGGAAGGTTGGGGATTAAGGGGGTGTGAAAAACAGGCATATGTGGAGGACAGAACCCCTATTCATGCTTCAACAGCCCAGCCAGCAGGCTTGCTTAGGTAAGGCAAGTTGTAGGACTTTTTCTGGCTAAACATGTACAGGGTTGCACCCTAAAACTACTGTTACTGGTTGACAAGTGTCTACTAGCATTTTTATAAAGGAATTGCACAACAGCAGAACAGGCTGGCCAGAGGGGTGGGGGGCTCCCCTCACTTGAAGGACCTCGTGGCGAACTTGGACAGCTTTCCCCCTGGCATGCTTTCTCGGGCAGGGACCTTTTCCAGCCAGGCCTTGGGGCTCTTACATTCATTTCTTCTTTTCCTATGAAGCCAAGCCGATGTTGTGAACCGCTTCTCTTCCTACAGGGAGTTCCCAGCCAGATGTCTCAGCCCGGAGGCAGCTGCAAAAAAGTGAGGTCACACTGGCTCCCCTGACATGGTTGCATGAAAAGGGTAGGACGCCATGCCCCCGCCCCCGCCCCCTGCCCACCACCAGCATGAGCTACCCAGGACCCCACATAAGCCAGTTCTCAGAGCAGGGAGCGGGGAGCAAAATATGC